TGATTGCACCCCTCTCCAAAGTAAAAAACGTTGACAACAAATTATTTATAAATAATATATCCTCTACTTAAACGCAAATGTTAAACTGTGCAATTTGAGTGGCTTATTTAAATTATAAAAAAACAAGAAATTACGACACTGAAACTGATGATAGATAATAATTATGATTTAGTTTATTTAGTAGTTAAAGATTTGTGAACTGTATGCTAAACTGATTGGAGTGAGAGAGCCTGGAGATCTGTAACCTAGGACTTTTCTAGCACACGCAGCTCCCTATAAAGTTTCTAATAAATATATTTATATTTTTAAAAACAAAATATTTTTGTATTGCCGTATTAGAGTAAGAAAATATTTCACGGTATTGCATCATTGCGTCATTACACAGCAACGTCACAATATACGATTAATGACAGTAAAAACCACTGCACCTAACAAATCTAAAGTATGAAAGTAGTAATTCAGTTAACGATGGTGTGAAACTGTAATTAGTTCCAATATAAGATCGTGTTGTCGCGGCAGGTCAAACAACACATACCTGCAGTATTTAGCTTCGATCGTAAGACACAAATATTACTAAATATATAAAAATACGTAAGTTATACCTTATTTAACTTTTCTCATTACTTAATTCATTTCAATGGACTAAGTTTAATTATATAATATGTTGTTTACATCTTAATTACGACTATCCTTATGTTGATAAATCCACAATAGAGGTTTGTTTTTATTTCTTATTAACCCCTTCAGCTAAGTGAAGTGTAGATTCATATCAATTCATTAGGTGGGTGTGTAACCTGCATCCAGGTCGGACGCTCTTGCCACTACAATTACATTAAAACACCTGCAATATCAAAACAGATTATAAGAAAAGTTCCTTATAAACTCTATTCAGTACCCTGTATTCTATGAGAGTTCAGTTTTCTGAATAAAAAATGAAGGTACGAATGAGAATATTGTTTTTCATTGTTAATGAAGATTGTGCTACTGTCACAGAGTCAGCATCAAACAACTTTAAGAAAAGAAACAATCTTGGTACACAAAACAAGCAAAGGAATATAAAAGCTTTGTGAAAAGAGAAATGCAGAAATCTAATATTGATTATACGTTTTAAGTTTAAAACACATTGTCAAGGCGGCCTTCGAGAGCTCAAAGGCTGCTCACCATAGTATTACAACCGCAAATTTTTCTTAAGCTTGACAATAATTTTTAGAATTTTTCACACTAATTCTAGTCCATTGCAATTGTGTTTTATTTCATTAATGAAGACTGACTTTGCTCATCCAAAGACATTATCTACAAATACCTAGTATTTAAAATAAACTTAGTATTATTTTCGAACAAACATTTTTTAGGCATTCTCCTGGTGTAAGTCAAACCTAAGTCTTGAAGAAGATTTTAGTAATATTTATTTTTACTAAATCTCCTTTTAGTATGTAAAATTATTTATTGGAACCATACTTTATCCCAGCTATCTAGATCACTAGTTGAAATTAGAGTATCATCTGTACTAAAACTATTGATGTAGAATGTGCCATAAAATATAGTTCTAACGCATATTGTCTAATTCTTAAACAATACATCCATCCCATTCATTCAAAGCATATAAAATACAATAACCGTAGCCCATTATGATCTACGAAATTAAATGTTAAACCTACATACATTAAGAGCCCACTTCCGGTGAAATCAGAATAGAACAAAAAAATATAATCCAAACAAACACATGACAAGAACAAAGCAGATGGCGCCTAAACGGAAATCGAAAGGATTTTTTTTAAGATTTTTTGTTGGCTATTGAAAGTAAAAAACTATGAGGATATCGTAAAAAAATTAATGAAAGCGTTCGATGATTTGACCGTGAGAAATACCGAGCTTTAGATGATCTTGATAAGGTCCACAGACATCTGTACGAGTAGTATCAATATCATTGAAGACTTTTAAGACTAGTAGTCCTCCAACGCAATTTAAGATATTAAAACATTTTAGTATCTTACTACACAATTTAAATACTGTATTATTTTATTCTAAGAGAAAAAACATTGATAGTCAATTAAATTCATTGTATTGCAAAAAAAATCGGATGAAGCGGTAAATTTAGGCAATTAATACATTATTACCATTCTTTTACCGCTACGAAGTGGTTGCCGTAGAGGCATACAACTTAAAATTATATGGCAGCAAGGTTATTCACTTTGAAATATAAATCTTCGTGGTACGAATGTCAGTAAATTAATTTTATTACTTTCTACCGAAAATTAGTTGCCGCATTTGTCATGAAAGCTGATCTTAATAAGTAACTCTGCGTATTCTAATATTGTGACGGGTAAACAAATCTAAAATATTTAGGTACATTATCATGTTTGAATGTATTTATATAGATATTACGAGACATACGAGAGATATACGAGATATGATGCATTTTATTTACACGGTTATTATATAAACTATTACAACAATGTAACTAAAATCTTATACCGTTGTACATAAAACAAGTATTTAATGAAATAATAATGTAACGATCACAAAAGATATTCGACCAAATAGAGAAATAGGCAGACATCGGTTTTATTCAGTAGATATAAGGTATGGAAACAGTCGTCCTTAAGTCTTTTTGATGTTTATTTTAACATGCGCCATTATCATTTGTGGAGCTAAAGTAAACCATTTAAATGTCAAGCTATTTATAAACGCAGCTTGCATCCATTGGACCTATTGACTCAACATTAACTATCAATGATACTATATTTACAATTTCTAGGAAGCATATAAAATGGTGATCGTAGCATTGATCAAGCCATGCGGTCGGGACACGTTAAAAAACCAGTGAGCTTTAATACTCGTTGAACAATTAATAATGAGTTCATTGAATTTTTAGTGCTTTGGTAACAAAAATATCCTTGTGATATCTCCTTAGCAACAGAGACATCATTAAATGTAAGTTTTTTGCTGATTGCAAAATCACTAGATCTTTCTACAGAAATTGTTTCAAATTTATGATGAAATTAAAAAAGCAATGTTTTACAGCCTGAAGTAATATTTCAAAACTCTATAGATTAATTGAACAACAACAACTACAGCAGCACTACCCAAATTTAATGTACCAAGGAGTCAATTCTCGTTATAACAAAAAAAAACAAAATTCGGTTCTGCTCTACTCTCGATCTCACAAATGTCATAAAAGGTAGTTTCGTAATTCAGTATTTTTAAGACTAGCAGATTACCGATTCATCTTTCGGTCACATTTGTGAGATCGAGAGTAGATCGGAACCGAATTTTAAACGAATTTTTATTACGAGAATTGACCTTCTGGGTGTGCATGACATCAAAGACTAGATGATATCTAATAATATATTAATAGACACTCGTGTAGTTTTATATCTACTTATAACCGATTAGGGAATGGTCTAAATTGATATCTAAAAAATTAAAAAAACAGATTGAATGTAATTTTACTTTCAGATATACAAATTACATTAGTGTGAAGTAATAAAAACAAACGTTACATATTTTTTGTCAATTTTCATTTGATACTACAAAAAAAAGTGCTAAAATAAAAATAAACTTTGTAAGATAAATATTCTGTATGCAACATTATCTATAATTTTAAAGAAAATTTATTAGAATAAAGGCGTCAAGGATTCCCAGTTGATTGTACTTAATCTATCCACAAATCAGCCTTTCAAAGACAGTTCGTATCAATTTTTGGCAGATTTTAAAATTGTTTTAAATAATTTCCAAAATGTATTTTCTTTTCAAAATAAACTCACATAGACCTCATGAGTTACAGAAAAAATAATTTAGACTAATGTTATGCTTTTACTAAAATTAAAAAACAACTCTTCAACTGCGTTTATTAGGTATAATTTTTTTGAGACTACATAATTCATTATTCGTAGCATGCACGATTTTAAAATACAAATCATAGAACGATCTGTTGAATGACGTCAATAGTTAGTCAGCTGGAAAAAGAATTTGTACTAATACGTAGCCCACGTTTTTACCTGTTTCCCTACAAATCTCATCGCCTCACGTGAGAGAGTTTGTGAGTCTAGACAGACAAAGGTAAGAAGTCAAACCATCGGCAACATTGTACAGTACTGCATGTAATAGTGCACGAGCGTGGGAGTTTGCCGCAGGTGCGCCGGCGCATAAAGCGAATGCGTTTCCTACGATGCCGGTGCAGATGCACCCTGCAAGATCTAATGCTATATTAGAAGGGACAGGTTTGTTTTTGTACTATAGATAATTTCGATGATACGTTAATTGTATGCTCCTTCTGCAATTAACAATTAATATGTATGTATTTGCCTTGATAAAATCAACATAACAACGTTGATTTGAAATAATTTTTGAAATGTATTTTATAGGAAAACTGCACATGGACTTATATAATCTTTGTCCAACCCCTATAATTCAAGAAATCAAAGTTATTAGTAGTTATTTAATAAAATCTAAAAGTTTACATGACGTCACGAGACCCTTGAGTGATTTTAATCCTTTTCATCATTATCATCGTCATCAGTCTTTAATAGTTCATTGTTACACATAGGCCTCTTCTTGGGAAGGAGGTTTTGGCCTTCTATACCACTACTTCTCACTTTATCAATTCTTTTATTATTACTATATACTCGTATAAATTTATTTATTAACACGTTGAAGGACACTCGGCTCCCATCGATAATTAGTGATATGACACAGTCAACATCCATACAAAAAAATTAGACGGCGGTGGACGTCCTGTCACCTTGTAAATGATTAAGTTGCTTGTGATAAAGAGGACGTCCTCAACCGCCCGACGGTCACGTATATATAAATTTGGTGACACGACTGTCACAGCCACAATACGATGTATTCGTATACATGTATTAAGGCAAGACGTCTGCTGCAGTTCTCTCACCATTCATTTTTAGATCATGTAAAAATCGTCTAATCTTGGCATTTACTTTATGGAATGAAATAAAATGACAATTATGAATAAACTCCTAGTTTAATAAAATGTATCAAAAACAGTAACAAACATCGTTTTCAAAATCATAATTTGGATCAGATCCGTACTCTCCATCTTGGTCGCTAAACGGGTCCTTTGAGGATTCTTCCCCAGAAGATGCTTCCTCAAATAGTCGCAGGATACGAGATCTTTCCCTTTCGTCGTCAGCCATCTAAAAATAATGAACTAATAGTTTAGCTTTTTCATTATTTAGGTATATTGTGTTGATAAAACCACGCTAGTAGCCCAGTAGTTACAATATACGTAGTACAAAAAACAATCAACTAAATAAAACACTTGCGAAGTCAATCTATACAAAATTATTTGAAATAAAAGAACGAAAATACTAACCTCAGTAAGCCGGCGAAAACGCGTGTTCCCGTGTGTGACAATACCCGACTGACGCGAACAAATGCGACGTACGTGGACGTTGTGTGCTATTACGCAGGTTTATGTGTGCGTGTGACACGCTCACATTGAAAAGGACGAAAGTTGATGCGATATGACATTTAGAGGAAAAAAAATGATTACGATGTGAAACTAAATATTTTTTTTATAATCTGGTACTCTTATTTGTATTAGAATAAGGTTCAAAATAAAATAAATCTGCCTAAAAAAACGACGTGTACAGCAGCCCGCCATATCAAAGCATCTATTGACGATGTCCTCAGCAGTCGTGACCTTCAATGTGTTAAATCTTTATGCACAAATGTGGCAAAGGCGGACTTAATGCCGTAGGCAATTTCTGCCAGTTGACCATACGGCGATGCAATAATATATTTTAATTTTACTACAACTATTTTATACACAGTTTCCCTCCTGAAATTTCTCTCAGTAACATTCTATAGACATACCCGCTATTGTTAAAAAATTCATCACCACTATTAGTTCTAAGACTACTGAGATGTGGATGTTTTTTGTTTGTTTTTTTTCATTACATGGAAGTACGATAAATGTAATAAAAATACACAAAACACAACGAAAAACATCATGCCTACAAAAAATATCACTTACATTTAGTATAAATATGTTTATTTCTTACTGTTACGTAGATAAACTCAAGTTCTATGCATTACCAGCAATATTCCAATATGAATTAGCTTTACCTGCCTTCTTAGGAGTAAAGTAAGTTGTTCACTCTAATTTTGGAAACGTTCCTAATGAGTAAATAATAGTACTTTTTCAACTATTTTAAGTGAAATAGGTCGGATATAAACATTTTGCAAACAAGTTAATATTCCAGCAACATTATCTTCTAACACGACAAAATATTTGCTGATCTGTAAATAGAGTTAGTTAGTACGTATTTGTTTTAACAGATTTAACATTTATCTGTCTCTTCCTCCTAACCTTATTATTTTCAAGTGCAAAAGGTTATTACTAGCTCTTGGCGTTAGTTTATAATTAATAGATAACTTAAACAGTTATGTTATCCTTAGAAGTGTACCGCTGTATGCGTCGTATGTCGTATTGAGTACAACGATGCCAAACTCGTATGTCATTACCATCATAAATCAGTTCAACAAAAAGAAACATAAATTTGAATCAGCGAAACCCTTCTCTACACCTGTTCGACCAGTTTTTCAATAAACTTATATTTAGATGCAGGATTTGATAGCACAAGGTGCAAAACTTTGAGAAACTGAACACCTTATTAGCTTTGTACGCCCGAGGCAATCGCATCAGTTCCAAAAAGAAAGCAAATCAATATTCGATAATAGCAACCGAAATTATTGCCTTAGTAACCCATTCCTGACCTACACCATCAGCTGCCCGTCGTCGTCCCATATGTTACGAAAATAGGTCATTAGAATAAACATTGCTACGGAATAACAGATTTTCTTTACACGCTACTTAGATTGGATTTTAAGCGTTAGATATCGTCTCGAATGGTGAGACACAAATTGGTGAAGTAATGAATCTTCTAAAACAAGACACCTGATTTGTATTATTTTATAGTTTGGAAATTGGTGACAGGTGCAGCTGGTCGTAACATAGTCATTTGTTACACAAATCAAAGTGGATCTTTGCATTGAGTTATTATTTCAAGATTAGAAAGGTATTGATAATTTTTTGGATTAGTTTTTTTGGTTCGATTCGCTTTTAATGATTCTAACATTGACGATGAAAGCAATGACTGGCTACTACTTAAGCTCAGGTAGTAAAAACGAATACAACTATAATTATAAATGTTATATGCAAGTAAATCCCGCTAAGAAGAGGTGGTAGCGTAGCGGTTAAGGCAATAACTTTGTAGAGATGTAGTTATAAAATATATTTAAATTATTTTATAGAAATAGATTGTATCCAACATATTACTGACTTATCTGATAACGTGAGTACTACGAGTGCATTAAAGGTAAGATAACTGACTAAGGCTTAATGGGTATATTTTGATTTTTTTAGACCAGCTATGTACCTAAATATGTACATACCTCTTTTCCGTAATTCAGTTGATTGAACTACAATAATAAAATTTATATTTGACCTCTTTTGAGTTTATTACACAATTGTAATAAGTTGTGTACTTGACAACACATAATGCATTAATATACATTATGCGTTGTCAAGTACATAATATAAGACTGATTTTCTAAGCACGTTTGTCAGCTCACACTATAAATATACCTAGAATCTACCTATTTATACTATTGTACGGCGAAAGGATTTCAAAATTTTCGAAGACTAAGCTCATTCAGAAAATCATTCAGAAAATCAGTCTTATATTATGTACTTGACAACACATAATGCATTAATATACATTATGCGTTGTCAAGTACATAATATAAGACTGATTTTCTAAGCACGTTTGTCAGCTCACACTATAAATATACCTAGAATCTACCTATTTATACTATTGTACGGCGAAAGGATTTCAAAATTTTCGAAGACTAAGCTCATTCTCCTTATATTAATCAAAATTTTGTTTGTGTTAACCTAGCTTGAATACAGCAATATTGAAATTGTTTACATCAGGCTTAGAACGAACTTAAAAAAACTGTTTTTTTTTTAAGTAATTATATTTTATGCTCCGCAAATAAAATATTCCAAATATTACATCGATAAATATAAGCAGGTTTATTTTATTACAAATATTATTAAACTCGTTTGAAGTGGAAACAATGATCTTGAAATGCTGCATTTATTGTACATCTATGCAAATTTTTAAATTATACCAACTATAACATCGCCGGTCATTGACCACCCAAATGAATTTATTTATAATAAATTGTTAGAATGAAATCAAATTCCATATAAAATATAAGATACCAAAGGCAATTCATCTGTTTCATCTGTTGCAAAAGATCTAATCATTATTTAATTTATTGACTGACTACATTATACTATATCAATTTAAGACATATTTATTTCTTTAATAAATATACCCCATAATCACATTATAATAATCTAATATTTTCTATAATCTTAGATCTTTATGCATACATATTTATAAGTAAACTTTGGCGATTGCCAAGTCTTTGTTTTCTTTTGCTCGACTTGGCGGAAGCACTACCGTGCTCAGATTACACGTCCATTAAATATGAAACGTATATAAAGTAGTAAATATTCTTTTTCAATACACCTTATTTTTATAATATATATTAACATACATTTTTAATACAAAACAGAGTTAGTTAACATTAACAGCAACACCACTACTACAGGTCAATTCCTTTTATTGTCAAAAAAAAAATACTTGTTAAATTTGCACATGTTTATTGACTCATCGCCTCTAATGTTTATATTGATTGTTCCTTTTATTTCTAAATTAACATATTAAAAAGACATCAAATTGTATTGGTTTAAAAAGTTATCACCGATTTACCCACAATTGTGGCAGCAGTCAGAACAACACGCGTTCTCACGTCATACCAGTTGTAATAGATATAAGATAAAACAGAGTCAAGTGGGAACTGCTTTGTTGAATGGGTTCAGCATGTAGCAGATGACTATATATATATATATATATAAGTAGATAACTATGTTGATGATTAAGGTAAAGTGAAATTTATAGGACTAACATATATTGTGTCACGTATTTTTGCTTAAAAGTTTTATAAATCATGACGTGTCATAATTTTTTTGCCAGTGAAATACATTAAATACTCTGCTAAGACTACCATAAATGTAAATTACTGAATCATCATTCTAGAATGCTAGTTTTTACAGAAGAAAAAAACGGTATTAGCAGTCTCTTTCTGTTGGATCTTAGGGACCTCTTTTGCATAAATAAATGCTTTTTTAGCAAGAGTAAAAGTTGAATTTATCAGTTATAGTTTTGATCATGATCAGAGGTAAGAGGCTAAACAATAGAGATCTTCTACAGTTCTTAATTGTTTAAAACTTAACATAAGTAAATTAGGAGGTTTTTGTACACATTTCAAACAAATAATGATGCATGCCTAATTATGCATTTTTTAATTGCGTTTATTCCTAAAATGAAAAATATTTGGGTATGAAGAATTAACATAAATCAAAGAAAATCTAAAATAATTAGTACAAATTAAAACATTTGGCCAAGTACACTTTTTATATTTAAAATACTAGTTAAATATTTTTAGCAAAATAATATTTACATTAAAGTAAGGAAACAACGGCTTCCGTAACTGAGGCAAATATTTATAACAAGTAATAATAATCGCTTAATAATTGACATCGCTATTATATCTTAAACCATATTCACATAACATTAATAAAAAGGCTATAAAATAAAACTTTTTTACAATTTAAATTGTAATTAAGGATTTTAAAAGATTCTAAGTATAATATTTCGTACCAATTAGTATTTCCGACTAATTCTATATATTGCAATTACTGTTGTTTACAAAATTTTAGTTTGTGTAAATAAAATTAAGGCACGATCTATTTTAAAATTAACAGAACTAAGGGAAAACGAAGGAATACATTATTTATCATAACTTATAAATGCATATAACCTCATTTGTCCGTTACCACTAATAAATTACCTTACGTATCAATTTGAACCCCATAAATCTTTAACACCATCGTCATCATCATCAACAGCCTCTAATAGTACACTCGTGGACATAGTCCTCTCCTTAGAAAGGAGGTTTTAGCCAACTACACCACGCTGGCCAGACGGGTTCGTACAGGGTTTGTTTCAAGTTTTCCTTCTCTTTGCACTGCATTTGTCCTTCGTAGTTTGCTGCCTTAGTCGGCTCTTACGGGATGAATAGGACTGGTGACACTCCGTATTCTTAATCCATCACACAAAATACACTCCAAGGTAATGACAGTAACCCTTTTGTAATTATTAATATTGTTCCTAGTACTAGTACTGTTTTTAGTACTAGTAACCATTTTCCATACGGAACTGCTAAACAGTTTTTTCCTCAACAGTTTCCATGAATGGGACCTACCGGAAGCTTCTAGTGACTAACAGTCGATTCAGTTACGAGAGCGAATCTAATGTCAATGTGAACTGTATAAAACACATTGTGATTATAAACATAATTACCATTTTTATTCAACATGCTTATAACGGTGAACTACAAAAAAAGATTTCGTAATTATGTTTAATTGGTGTTAACGTAACACCATACGTACATACGCATACAAATGCTAAGTAAATTCCGTGTAAATGTCTGTTAAATTTTTATGTCTTAACTACTGAAAAAATTGTTATGAAGTTTCGCATAACCATCATCATGGATACTGAGAAGGACACAGGGTATGTTTAATCTGGTCAAAAGGTTTTGTTGGCTAAAGTTAATATTACAATATTTGAACGTATATTACGAAAACTTTGCCACCATCATAAATATAGAGACGTCATTTCTCTTTTGCATGCAAAATATTAATCTTAAGGAATAGGAGAAAATATGAAAAAAAGTTTAGTTTGGTAAGAATTAAAATATCTCTGAAGACACTTACGTAATATAACAATTATTTCTTATTCTTCTGTCTCTTCTTCTTGGGGACTTCTGAATAAAGTTATGGAGATAAACATTTAGTAAGTAAAACTACATAAATTTAATAAAGTTAACTTTGTACAATTAACTTATTATTATAATCAGGTAACGGCATCTCAATAGATATCTCAAAGACCGTGTCAATGTCAAATGAATATTATTAAACCAGGCACCTACAGTTTTGTATGTTTGCTAGTTTTAACTTTGAACAAGAATATGGAATAGTTTTATTTGAGAATTATTACTGTAAAAATATGTATTACACAACGTGTTTTCTTAACATTTCCTATTAAACAATACATTGATTTACTATAATGTCTTAAAATTTGTTAGTTTGTGACACCTCAGTAGGTATGTTTTGATCTATCCTCCTTTACCTATGCAGAAATTTTAATTTGAAATTTTGTAACTACTATTATTAAAAGATTAAATGAAAGATTTTAGATACTGTGCTTTAAATGTTTGAGCTGAATCGTATAACATTCTTTGATAAATATTGTTTTTGTGCAATAAAAAATTGCTATAGATATAAATAGAAGGCTGTTCTATGTTGCATTAACACCAATTAAGAGCCAATTATTTACCTATCCTTTTAAAGTTTAGTATTATACTCAATCTAATAAAAAGACTTCTGTTATACAAAGTGCGTGATATACAGAACGCATTATGCAACCAATGCATGGTTACATAGTGGCATAATATCTGGTAGCTGACGCGACAACGTAATCGCTCGGTAATGGCGTCGTCGTCGGCGCGCAATCTTCCGTGATAGTGAACTTGAGTTTTTTAGCGGCGCACACCACACCGTTACTTTGAGCTACATTCCGCGGTTGCGCCGCCCCGCCACGCCGCGGAGCCACCACCGCAACGTAGTGTTCACTGTTCAATGATCATGCTTCCACGCAAGACAATCTATTTTGATATTCCGTTCCCCGATCGAAATAATGCCGGATATTCTTAACTTTGTAATAATGCGTGTCATTTGAAAACTATACCACATACCACTCTCACCTTAGTATACGTAGTATATTACTTATACGACAATACTAGAAAATTGACAAAATTAAATGTTGAGTACCCTAAAAAGTCTTATTTTAATTTCAAACGGTTAGTTAATTTGTTACTTCATTAAAATTTTCTTGTAATTTTTCAAGATTATATTAATGGTAGAATAAAGTAACTTAATCAATGACCGTCCTTAATTTAGAAATTATTAAATTTTTACGATTGCACTAAATTACTGTTATCGGCAACATACGAAATCGTGCGTGAATTGAAACCATAACATACTTTCTTAAATAAGCACGATTTACAACGCTGATAAATTAATATAATGATAAATACAATCCATTGAAGTAGGCGAGTGTTTAAAACTAAATTTAAAAAATAAAGTTCACACAATTCAATAAATGATTAGAGCTCGAATTATAAATTCTTTGTAGCTAGATGCAAAAAATACAAGACGAACAAAACATTCGAATGATAAAATAAAAACATGGCAGTAAAATAACAACCATTCTAATGCTAGATCTAAGCTTTGAAGGCTGCGCGAACGGCAGGTCAACGACCTACCATTGCCAATGTCAGCCATCTTGAGTTCCGCAGTCGCTTACGTTCTTCACGTAAGAGGCTGTAACGATTCGTTTGTGTGTGTACTTATGCTTGTTTTTCTATGTCTCTTCGATAGTGTGAGTGACTAGAATTGAATGTGTTCGCATATATTCGTACAACTATTTTGCTGTGTGCTGTTTGTAAGGTTGCGTGTTAAGTTTTGTTACTCTTTATAGATTCTAGGTGGCGTTGGTACTCGTCATCGTATCGATCTTAATTTTGTATTTTCATGTAATAATTATTTACAAGCAAAAATTGGAACAGATGTCTGTTTCATTGACAAATTCAATTTGAATAACTATTGCCACGAGTTTTAAACAGTTGCTTTGAATGTAGATACTTTTCCAACGTAATCCTTTACAGGTCAATATTGGCATACGTTTTTGCATCATAAAAATTAAAAGTAAACATGTTATTTCAAAATAGCAACATATTCTATTTTCCCTGTTCAGGTTTAAAAGTACTTTTGGCATTGTTATATGACTAAACGAGATTTAGCATCTATTTGGATGACTTGCCGAAATACTAAGTGAAGGATAGCCATTTCCCATAAAATATACCTGTACAATGCAATTTATTTACCTGTTCATTTCCTATCAACATTTTTTCAGAGCTAATCTTACCGTTTAACCGGTTTTTCTTTAATTATTTTAATTGTAAACATCTTAAATGCCATAGGTTATCATTACACTAACTAAATACTTTTACTGATTTCAAAGTCCTCCTATAAGATTCAGCAGAGATGATTCAATACCTGTGGCTACTTTATTG